GCTTCTCTTTCAAAAATTACTGATGCTGACACTTATCACAAAACTGAACACCCTGTAGCCATTTAATTTCAAGGCCTTACAGATTTGTAAGATTGCGAACAACAGAATTCAGTATTACTGAAAAGTAGCAACTGAAATCTGGTAAAATTACACTCCTTAAAAAGATGAAAGTTTCTTATCTCACCTGGTTTTATCCAGGCATGATATGCAGTTCATTGTTAAAACAAAACTATTGCAGTCAAGTTCTTTGTATTGACAAATAAGATTGCTCAGATGTGTAGCATAACTAAGGTTGCTCACTTAAAAAATTAAAAAGGATGTCATCACTTAAATCCCTTAAATTGATACCTAGCAATTGCAATATGGCATTCAAAGAGAATCTCAATCTGAATTAGACCGCTGTAAGAACAGTAAGGATCTCTAAGGACTCATGCCAAATTTTGCTCTAAAGGGGAAAAAGAACTTTGCAATTCCTCTTCATGAATACAATATAAACCTGGAATTTAGAAGATCTCATATAGCCGAGCATCAAAGCATCTTCACTGATTCTGAAAGGTGCTTGTGTTAAAAAGGTATTTGCCAAGATTAAAGTTAATAAAACCTGTAATGAAAGCAAACATAACACGAGCAAGCATGTGTACTGCCCAAATTCAAAACACATCATCTGCTACATGGTTTCCATATCGTGTTTTGATTCTGCTGGAACGTTCATCACACGGGCAACACCATGGCTTGCAGAGATGCTTGAGCTAGCTTAAGATTAGCTGGGACACCCACTAGCTGGGTGATCTAATGACAGCGTTGCCACGGCAGCAGAGAATGCAATCCACATAGACTCCTGACAAGGTCCCAGGCAGATTTCACAGACTGCATTTAGCAATGGGAAGTTTAAAAAGTGGAGAACAACGCTAATTATCAGGAGCAGAATGTGAAGTCAACTCCTAGTTCCCAATACTGATGAAAGCACTAAAACATACAGTATGTTTATGCTGGGGGACTGTTAAACAGCATATATACATTCCATAATTTGAACTGTGAGCCTAAAATTTTGATTTGGCCTGGTGGATCCCAGAGGATTGAGCTTTTAGGAAACTTTTGTAGAGATATAAGACAGGTAAACAGACCTGTGAGTATTTTTGCTGTCCTAGGGCTTCTGCTCTACTGGAATTGCAGATGCTGTAAGCTACATTTTGCACACATGTTGCTGATCCCTGAGCAGTATGTCTTCAAGACACTTTTCGGCGTATTTTAGCAAGTTTCAAGTCTATCAGAATGCAGGAAAGAGTATTTTTATCAAGTGGGAAACAAAAATTTTATTTGTGCTTGACAGAAAAATGAAGTGCAACACGTATATATACATAAAGCCCCAATCAAAATCAGAGTTCAAATGGAGAGTGGATGGGAACTTTCAGGCAAAAAATACAATCAAGGGGTTTATAATGAGAACTTCAGTCTGGTTTCAAGACTTATGTTGGAGAAGCACCATCCCACGCAGTGCCAGAATCCTTGTGGCTTTGAGTCCGCGACCTATGACAACAGCTGTCACTGAAGTCCCAGACCTCTTCCAGTAGAAATTTCCTGCCTTAAAGAACCAGAGATGTTTTACCTTCTGCCAACTTCAAGAGATGCACTTTAGTCAACACATAAGTGGAGGGAAAGCATCAGATAAATGCAACGCACTCTAGTGGCACAGATCACTTTACTCAGTACTTCTACCACAAACAACATAATTCTCAACTTCTGCTCTTCCCCAGAAACTTCTCTTTTCTCGACTTGGCCTCAAAACCTCTTCTTTGATTTCTATTACAATTCACACTCCTTTTTTGTTTGCACCTAGAAACTACACTATTTATCACTGCCTTCCCACACTGCACTAACATTTCCAAACCTTGCCTTGTCTTTGGTTTCTCTGGTCCAGAATTTTGCCCATCACCTGGCCATTACCAGTGACGCTGTCTGCGAGGATATCTGGAATGAGGGTGTCAAATCTAGAAGGCAGAAAACCCCCAAACTATTACCTGCTATTTTACTTTCATTGTTTCACATATATTTTATTTCTCCTCATAGCTTCTGACATGCAAAATTTTCCCCCAGACTTCACAGATATGAAGCCTTTTTTTAATAGCTGTCATCCCACGTTGTTTGCCAGGCTGATGCACACCTAAAATCAGCCTCGAGCTACAGCCTGCACTGCCTTCAAACAGAGATTCTGTGTGGCTATTAATAGCAGGGAGAACAGAGGTGGCATGTAGTTCTCAACAAAACAGCACAGCCTGCTAAATGTCTGGCACTAATCAAAGCTATTCCATTGTCATAATCAGGACAGTGAGATCAGATCAGTGACTTGCGTTTCCACTTCTACCCTACTTTCTGATTTTTAAAAACGGTTTCTTTTCCACATGACAAAACAAAGCACAGCTGCAGTGGATCACGACACAGATGTGCATCACTATGAGCTACACATGAACTACAGATGTGCATCACTAAGTCAGCATTTCCAGAAGTGCCGTGCAGCTGGAAGAACAATCAATCTATGCAGGGCCCAGGAACGACATGTCATTAAAACATGCTACTGCTTCAGGTTCCACTTTCGCAGAGATATACCGTGCTTTAAATCCTGCTACACAGAAACAGTGTTTTAGAGTGTCATATGCTGTTCTGCCACAGTCACTGTAAGCCAGCTTAAGTCAGCATTAATGCCCAAAAAGGCAGACTCACCCCTTCAACTGTGACAGCACAAGCCCATTCTACAGCCACTTGATGTATCGTACCAGGTAACTGACCTGTTTTAACACTGAACTGAAAAAAAAAAAAAAAGTTTAAACTTTGACAGCTGACCGACAGTAGCCCAAGCCAATCTATCCACTAGTTAACGTCCTCCTAGGTGTCTTCTACATCCTCCCCTGAATCCATTAGAATGTTTAACTTGGCTCTTTCCTGAACAGGCTCAGACACCTAACCATACAGAAAACCACTCACTGATTCACTAGCCTAGATTTCCTTGTAGATGGCTCAGCAAAAGCTCCAAAGACTGTGAAAGTGGGGCAAGACAGGGGATGAGAAACCACAGCCAGTGTAGAAAGGAAAGTAAGACAGCAGCAGCGTCTGTGGCCAAGGCTGCTGCAGAGCTACACCCTCAGCTCAGCTCCCCAGAATGGCACGTCGTGGAGCCTCATCAACATTTGTGTAGGAGAAAAGGAACAGAAGAGGGTAAGAATGAATGGACTGGACAGCAATACCAGCTTACAGCGATGTAAAAACCCAGAGTTAATCAACAAAAGCTTCTATAATAACCAGTACCAGATATACAATTAATTTCAGGCCTATGCCTCTACCAGGAACTACCTAAGAAACTAGAACTACTGTGACAAAGAACATTTTTACAGGACGCTTCCACTTGCTGTCCGCTGCAAAACCTCCTCAACAGGGAGCGACGCCAGGCACGGCTCCCACAGACCACCGTCCAGGCTCTGGAGGGCCGGACCCCGCCGCGCAGAGGCAGGACCCAGGGCAGAAGAGGCCTCCCTCCTCAGCAGCTCGGGCGGGGAGGAAGGCCCCCGGCTCGTGCCTGCCGAGCGGCTGCAGGAGCG